TTGCAATTATGACATGAAAACATCAAACTCTTTAATAAATTTAAAATATATTATAGAATTAGAGTGATGTAAAATTTGTCTACTTTGGCATTCTATGAATTACTTCACCATTCACTCATTCTTAGTTCATTGATTATCCCCAACTATGCTAAAAAGAATGACATAAGAAAGTGAAAATATGATAAAGTCATCTAGAATGTTGGTGTTCAATATAGTAATGACTCCTCACATGTGGCTATTTAAATGTAAATATATCAATCAAAATTAACTAAAATTTAAACTACAGTTCCTTAGTCACAAGATCCATATTTCAAGTGCTGAGTAGCCAGCCACATGTGGCTAGCTATTAGCTACTATTTTAGGACAGATATAGAATGTTTCAATCACCGTAAAAAGCTCTATTAGACAGTGCTGGTGTGGAAGGATTATACAAGAGTGATAGATGAATTCTATATAAAATGTATTTTACCACACATACACACACACACACTTAAAATTTGGGTTCTTAGTTAACCATATTGGCAGTTCAATTCCATGGTATTAAATGTATTCTTAGAATACTCATTCTGAAAAAAATGTTCTAATCTGCCTCTTGTGTTTTTTTATTTTCAATTACAATTGATTTTTTTAATGTAATTTTGTCAATGTCACATATAGAAAATAAATGTTCAGTTATTTTCGTCTTTTCTGTTTTGTGCATAGCTTTTTCTGTTAGTGCAGATACATTATTCTTACTGAGAATTAAATAAAATCTGACTCTTATAATCTGTTCTTCTAAAAATTAAACAAATAAAAAGTTATTGTTTCCAAGAGAGCTGTATAAAAACAGAAAGATGAATTAGAATTTCCATTTATAGTGTTTTCTTCCACTGCTCAGGTGCAAAGCACGCTGTTACCTATTATGTGAAATTTGCAGGCATTGGGGTTCACAGTGAAAAGTCTACATTTTCTTAAATTTCAAGTTAAAAAACCTCTTCCATCATAGCATTTGAAAATTTATGATTAATATTTCATTTAAAAAATGAATGTTGCTGTGATATAATTAATAGACTGAGTCCTTCTAAACTCTATATCATAGGGTTATAGAGTTAAAACATTAGCCCTAGAAATATAATTATTTTTGACATTTTTTTCATTATGCTCCTTGACACTATGTGGTCATCACTTACTTTTTATTTCTCATTGGACTTGTTTTTCCACAATAGCACAGGATTTTAATTTCAGTTGTAGTTATAACTTTCCATTAATGTAAGAATATAATTTACATGTGTCACTCGCCACAGAAAACAATATCTTTTTTGTTCTGGGGGTTCAAAATGCTAAATATTTCTCTATTTGGGCCAATCTTTGCAATTATCCATAAGAATGTAGTAAAACAATGTGGAAATCCTAAATTTATGTCCCATCAATTCTAAACTAACCACCTTCTTTCTTTTCCAGTTCTTTCTATTTTTCTCTATTTGCATCTGGGGAAATTTCTACATCATGAATGTTGTGCATATGCACCTAAGTAGATCCATGATCTGCTGTCTCTGGAAACAACTATGGAGATGCTTTTGTCACTATTCTTCATGAAGACCATACCCAATTTGCTCAATTTGCTCTAATTTAGATGCAGACTATTGCTAGATGCCCTCTCTTTACACTCCACTCCTCATTTCATCTCTGGGGAATGTTCTGCATTCCTAAAGGAACGTTCAACATTATCATCAGTTAGTTTTAATTAACTTCACATACTTGAATGATGGTATGCTAGATGCTAGGAAGAATAATTTAAACAGATCTGGTCTCTGCCTTCTAGCCACTTACATATTAAACCATGATAGAATGAGTTGTTATTTTTAATTGGCCAAGAAGTATAACATTTTTCATGTAAAACTTTCTAAAAAATTAGGTAATTCAATTGCCTTCCTCCATAAAGTTTGCTTAATAATGCATACTGAAATATGGTGAACAGCTAACAATGTCCGGGAAGTATATATATAATAGTTTCATTTTGGACTCCCAAGAAAGTAAAAATGACTTTGGCATCTAACAATTGGCATCTGACAGCTAAGCTGAAATATTTTCAACGATTCTCTAGAATCTAAACAATAATCTGATGAAGTCACTCTGTGACTGTGGAGTGGAATAAAACAAAGGCAAGTCTATTCCATGACCAGGTCTGAAATAAGATGGAGACCAGGACATTCAGCAACCACAAAAATTAACATCATTAACTACTGCATATGTATGGTAGCAAATCTAGTCTTGCTCAAATGTTTTTGCTTTCTAGGTAAAAGTTACCAACATATTCGTTATTAGGTTGTCCCTAATTCAGACAGCTCCAATCCAGAGCCCTCTTTAGAATATTCAAGATAAGCCCAAATACAATAACAAGACTGCTAACTCTTTCTTACCCACGCTCAGAGATTCATCTGGTATGCCTTCTCCTTTGTGATAGCACACTAAATAAATCCACTTCTTCTAGACTACTGGTAGGTATCTGATGATCTTTGGCTGGTGTTCTTCAACATTCCTATGATTCAATTCTTATTATTTTCTTATATTATATGCTGAAAGTTACAGTTAAATTAGTAATCAAATATTATTTTTAAACGATCCTACTTGGCTTTATATGCAAGTGAAAAAGAGTTTAAATTAAGATGCTGATGATCTGGATTCTCTCAACAACTTTCCATATTTTGAAAGATAAGTTGATAAAATAAGTAGAAAAGAGAAAGTCCTACAGAATGAATATTTTTGTCTCCCTCACATCCATATGTTGAAACTTAATCCCTAATGTGATATTAGGAAGTGGGGCCTAAGGAGGTCATGATTGAGATTAGTGCCCTTATAAAAGAGAGACTAGAGAGCTCCTTAGCCCTTTCTGTCATGTGTGGACATAGAGAGATGATAGCCATCTATGAATGAGGAAACAAGTCTTCACCAGATACTGAATGCACCTGAAACTAGATCTTGGATTTCTAGTCCCCAGAACTATGAGAAATAAACTTCTGTTCTTTACAAGCCACCCCGTCTATGGCAGTTTTTTATAAAAGCCTGAACTAAGGCAGCGATAGACATCAGCTGAAATTTTATTAAATGTCATGAACTTGACTTAATTGTCTAGTTTGCTTCTCTTTCTTATATTCGAATCTTAAGGAGTTTCAATAATTGTCCCAAGGTTTTATTGCAAATAAATGTTAAAATTTGGAGATTATCTAAGTTTGGGCTCTAAGATATGCTTGTTTCTGAATCAGCTTCAATAAGAACAAGAATAAACTTAATGAAACTAATGTAATATAATTGAAAGTTTTTAAAATTATAATTTTAATAACTAGAAAACTAAGAATTAGGAAACAATGAGCAATAATTAAAAATCATAATCAGGTCGACATTTTCTCTATCAAAAAAGAAAAGTCTAGTATACAGTACTTCGATCTTTTCTCATAACCCCCTCTCTACTTTTCTCATAGTCCACTTCACTCTGGTCTCACTTTGCTCTTCCTAGAAACATAGAAACAATAAAGTATGCTCCTACCTCACGGCCTTTATACTTGCTCCTCCCTCTTTGTGTGTAAGTGTATGTGTAATATTCCACACATATATTATAACACACACACACACACACACACACACACACACACACTTTCTTTTACCCTTATTCCCACCTCTCCAGTTGCATTTCTTATCACTACCTCTGATTTATTCTTTTCCCATAGAACTCGCCACATAACATGCTGTATGTTTTATTTATTTATTTTGCTTTTCTGTCATTCCTGCCTAGAATAGATGCTATAAGAAAACTGGAATTTGTTTCTGTTGGTGGTGGTGGTGGTGGTTTTGACACTTGGAGACAAGCTTGATTTGTTTTGTTGTTGTTCTTTTTTGGTTACTTACATAACATCAATGATCAAAACAATGCCTGTTACATCACAGGTTCTCAGTAAGTTCTTGTTGAATAAATAAATGGAAAAAAAAATGTAATGAGGCATACTAGAAGACCAGTACTTAGATTTAACATTTTAGGATTTAATGTAATTTTATCTCACACATATTCTAAACTTAAGCTACAACTTACCACAAAAGCAAAGAAATAATCTCTAATATTTAAAAAAAAAGATCAAGCAACCCAATTCGGAAATATCATTTCCCGTTTTCTACATTTTTTTCTTTCTACATTATCTTATTTCAATTCATTCACTTTCATTTTGATAAATATTTATAGATTGCCTAGCCCAAGGACGTTGCTAACAAGTAAAAATGCCACAATCACAATTTGCTAGCTCTGTGACTCTGCCAAGTAAATCAACCTCTAAATTTTTGGTGCTTTCACCTGTAAACTGTGGTTAAAGAGAACAACTATTTGTCAGGTTGTTATGTTGATGCCCTAACATGAATTATATGAAATGAAACAATACAAGCAAAACGTTTAGCACTGCCTCTGGTCTATTGGTGTCATCTAATTAATATTATTTTTATCACTTGCAAATAATAATGATGTTGATGAAGAAAGCATAATAGATATGCCCTTGAAATCAGACAGACTTATAGGGAAGGAAAAAATAGACTAAATTTCAAAGCATAGATTGAGAGCTTCATTTTCCATGTAACAAAGTTAATTTTATATGATAAAGCTCATCAATGTCCTTCTCAGATTCCCAACTCTCTCTGATTCTGAATTACCACTTTCTCACCCTCAACCCCATGTGCCCACATACATCAAACCACCATTCGGAAGATAATTAGGAGTTTTAACTTTTTGATATACCCTTTATTTTTATAAATATATCCTTTATTTTTCGTTCTTGTTTATAATGATATGCAGGCAAGCACTACTTTCCTTTGAATATGATCAATACTATTGAGGGTAGTTTTTCTTCATTTTGCTGTAGATTTTGCCGCAGATTTTGTCACACATTTTCTGTAACTTCAAATAATTTTGAAATGATTTCAAATGTAGATGAAGAGATTTGATGCCAAGGTAAAGGAGGAGGGAGGGAGGGACGTTTACTTACAGTGTATTTCTAGCACCTGCATTGCCACCTGAGGAGTGGCATTGAGGGATTCGTGGTCTACTCTGCAGATGACCGCCACGCCGTCGTCGCTCCGGTCCACTCGGAAGTCCAGTGTGCTACTGACAGTGAAAGTCTTGCGATTTGCATCCTCTTCTTTTAAATATTTTACATCTGAAAATACAATATAAACTTTAAAATTCTGTGATATTCTCTTTTTAAATATAACAGGTTCCATTTACTCGAGTCTCCTATTGGAAGCACATCCTCCCTAGGTTTATCGATTTTTTTTTTTAAGCAAGTATTGATTAGTTTAACATTTAATCATTTTAATCTGACAGAATAAAAAATGACTACTTCAAAAATAAATTTTAAAAGTTAAATATAGAAATAATAGAGTGGAGCATAGCACTTTTATTCAAGTGCAAGACTTTTTTTTTTATACTCTACTTTGAAAAATCAGACCATTTTCCAATATTAATCTCCCGTCTTTAGATTTCAGTTTTATTAAAGAATAATTCTCTGAACCACAAGCACAGTTGGGAAGATTCACAACTATCCGATTATGACTAAAAGAAAGTACGATGTATTCAAGCTAACTTTAACATGAACAATGTGAGGTGAACATAATTGCCAAAGAATATCTAAGGTGTGAAAGTTTTCATTATTGGTCAAAAAAATTAAGAAAAACTGTCATCTGAATGAAAATACTTCCCTCAAAATGGGAATGCACTTATTGATATTTAAATTTAAACTTCACGATTCCGATTCATTATTAAATGATGTATTTAGGGTTTATTTGTTGTCTGTAGAAAAGAGGTTTAATAATATTTTCATTTAATTTGAAATTTCTCAAGTCTAGAGTAGCTAAGAACAGGGCAATTTTAATAAATTAGAAATCAAAATCAGACTAATGTTAAGATATCATGGTAACAAGGTCTTAAATATAGTTCAGGGAAAAGCCATTATGTTTTCTTATGCTTACATTTAAAATGAACAATGATATTTTCAGAAAGAGTTCTTTTGCATAAAGTACATAAAATATTTTATTTTACCAGATATTAAATAATTTATTTTTAAAATATGTTGACAACAAATTAATGTAAGCTCAGCTTCTCCATTTTTGTGCTCTACAGATTTAACTTTTAAATAATATCGAATTTGATATATTTGACAGGTAGATATATTTGCATGGTCTATTGAGTTTTATCTATTGCCAGAGAAGCATAATTTTCTTATTGATTGATTTTTTAAATAAAAATAAAATAAATATCAGTAAAGGATAAAACTAGCTAAATGTTCTGTCTTGTTTTTGAAAATGTATATTTATGATTGTGTTCACAAATTAGAAAAAATTATCTAATTAAGATTTTTATCACAAAAAAATATTTTACCTAATATGATCAGTTTTCAGAGTAAGGACAATCTCTAACGTTTGAGAAGGTAGAAAGGGTATAGAAGTCTTAATTCTGTCTTTTAACTATAAATCAGACAGGATACAGATTTGCCATAAACATGCGTCTTATGAAATATCTCATTTTTGCTAACCAAAGTCCTTTCTGAGATTTTTACATTTGAAAATTAGTTTCAACCTTAGTTAAAAAAAAATATTAAAGTAAAAGATAAAATTATTTTTAGTCAAAATATGTTAGGATATGTACAGATGCATTTAGAATTCTTTGCTACATTAAAAAAATTCTGAGACTCTAACTTTTCAATGTTTCATAGATTTATACAAAATGTTGCCTCAATTTTTAGTTTTCTACTTTTTCCTATAAATCTGTTTAATGTTTTCTTGTTCATATCGCTAAGTAGTAGCATTGTTAAGAAAATTTAAATCTTGACAAACTATTTTTATAATTGCTTTAAAATATATGAAAAATTATTCCAAAATATTTCTGGTAATTGTTTAATTTAAATAACAGCTGCATTTTAAGAACCCACACATCTACTTTATTTAGCAATTTCCGTTTCCTTTACAAAAGTATCATTTAATGTAATAGTATTTGGACACATAATTCTAGTAGCAATTGTATACAACAAAATTTTAATGAGCATCATTCAAATATAGTAAACAAAAGTATAATTTGTTTCTTTCAATGTTAGTTTATGTGGTATCTTATATGGTTACTCAAAGGCATAAAAGAAAGTGGAAAAAGCATTGAAAAGAGCGAATCATCATATCTTTTCCCATATTTTATGCTGACCACTTCCTCTCCAGACAGTAAATAATACTTAAAAGTTTCTCTATTTTTACTTTCTAGCTTCATAAAATAACTGATGTGTTACACTATTATAGAATCAATAGAAAGTTTTTTTAATATTGTACAGTTAATTCACTGAATCTTGTTTCATGTTCTGTCTTGCGTTAGAAAATTTCCTTTTCTTCTTTGTCATGTCACTACTTTACTTTGTGATCTAGAGCAACATTTCTAAAACTGGAGTATGCATACTAATCACCTTGGGTCTTATTAAAATGGATCTAATTTAAATATGTTATGAGATGGATCCTAAAAGTCTGCCGCTGGCCCCTGAACCATATTTTGGGGAACAAGGGTGTAGTAGATACATCGACACCAGAGATGCAACCAAAGGTAAAGAGAGAGTATTGAAATATTGGGACTTATTCTACACACCTACCTTCCTTTCTTCCTTCCTTCTTTTCTTCCTTCTTTTCCTCTTTCCTTGCTTCTTTCCTTTCTTCCTTTCACCTTCCCTTCCTTTCTTTTTTTATCCCTCCATTTTTCCTTCTTTTCCTCTCTCCCTTTCTCCTTATCTTTCATTTTATCTCTCTTCTCTTTTCCTAAGATTCCATTCTACCTTTGCTATTTTTAAATATACATTTCTTATTTTTTCTTACATTTTTCAAACTATGTATGTCATATATAATGCATTGGTGCAATGACTAGCAAAAGTTGAAGGCAAATAAAAAATAGAAGAATTTGCAGGATTACTTTCCTTCATAACTCTGCAGCAATCTCTTTACCTTTCTCTAAAAATGATTCTAGACATTTAAGTACTTGTTATTAAATAATTAGAATAGTGCTTGCATTTGATAGGTGGTGGTTGAAAATAGTCTCATTATATTATTGTATTTACATTGTTTATATTAGAAATTTCCTATATTAAAAAAGTTTTTTTTTTTTTAATCTCTCTAGAAACATTTCTTAAGTATACTTCTCAATAAACATTATTTCCTAAACATGTGTTGGTGACGTCTCAAAAATATATACCAGTTTTGACAGAGGAAAGATAGCAGAGTAGGTGAACACTATGCTTGCTTCCTCTCAAATCACAACTAAACTACAAAACTGCCACTTTTGAGAGTCACCTGAAGTCTAGCTGAACAGATGTCCTACAACTGAGGACACATAGAAGACGGCACCTCAAGACTGGTAGGAGGGACAGAGACGGGGGCGGGTGAGGGTAGCTGTCTCCACACCTGAGTGTGGCGGTTGAGACCTGGGAGGGATATCTTGGTTGAGGAGGTCCCCCAGAGAAGCAAAGACTCTCAGCTCCACACCGTGATCCTGAGCCCAGGGTTCCAGTGCCAGAAAGAGAAGTTCCCATCCATAATTCTGGCTATAAAAATCAGCGGAGATTGTGGCTGAGTGAGACAAAGTGTGGCTGGAGTTGCAGATGTTACTTTTAAGAAATCCATGCACAGGCTTATTCACTGACCTACTCACTTGCTCTGAACTTCAGCATTGGAGCAATTGCTCGAAAAGCACCAGAAGCATACAGAGAGGAACTTAATTGGCTTCAGGGTAAGGATTGAAGGAGCAGCTTTCTCCCAGCTAGAAGTGCTAATAGAATCCATAGTTTCTTTGCTGAGCCTTCCCCCATCTAGGCATGCAGATGCAGGCCCCTGCCATATCTGAGTCTCCCAACACTGGTTGCCCCAACTAGTGATTCCCTGAGACCCCATCCCACCTAACTCCAGCGTGTAGGCCAACCCAAGACACGTCAAGTGGCTTTTCAATAGAAATAGCCTGTCTTGGCTCATTCCTAAAATCTTTCCTAAAATCTCTCAAAGGTGCATGAAAACCAAACAAGCAGCATCTTGCCTCAGCGTGCCCTGTACCACTTGTTGAGCAACTCCAAGTTTGGCACTATCAGAAGCTGAACTCGATTCATGACTTGGTCTCTTGAGGCATCTCCAAGCCCAGTGCTGGTGATGGCCATCTGTGGATTGCTTGGTGACTCGCGTCACCACGGGCAGGGCACAGGCTGCGGCTGACTTGGCCTGAGGCTGGATCCCTCCCTGGAGGCCCCAGACATGGCATGTACAGTAGCAGGTTTCTATGGAGCCATAGCACCACCCAGGCCTGTATCCAAGGATGACACACCTGAAGGGCAAACTGGGCAGGCGCCAGAGCCCTGCTAAAGTGAATCCTGCTCCTTAGGATCAACGCCTCACCAGCCAGTCCTCATAACCAATCAGCCCAAGAGTATATCCTTCTGCAAGATGTGCAAACGGTAACAAAGGCTCAACTTCAACAGGAGGGCTCACATAATCCATAAAAGAGACACATCTGGAGTGCCTGGTTCAGGTGACCAGAAAAGATTGTGCTACTGGGCCCAACAGGACACCTACTACATAAAAACACTCTTCTGAGACCAGGAGACATGGAACCCTTCCTAATATATAGAAACAAATACAGGGAGATAGCCAAATGGGGATACAAAGAAACATGTCCCAAACAAAAGAACAGTCAAAGCTTCAGAAAAAGAGCTCAACAAAAATGGAGAAAGTAATCTACCAGATACACAGTTCAAAACACTGGTTCTAAGGATGCTCAATGAGCTTAGGAGAAAAAAAATAGACGAGCTCAGTGAGGACTTTAATAAAGAGATAAAAAACATTAAAATGGAGATTGAAAACATAAAAGAGAACCAGTCAGAAATTAATACAATAACTGAAATAAAGAATACATTGAAGAGAATCAATGGTAGAATAGACAAAGTAGAAATTTGAATCAGCAATTTAGAAGATAAGGTAGGAGAAAACACCCAATCAGAATAGCAGCAAGACAAAAGAATTTCTTCATATTAGGATAGTTTAACAGGTCTCTGGGACAACATCAAGCATACCAACATTTTCATCATAGGGGTACCAAAAGGAGAAGAATGAAAGCAAGGAATTAAAAATTATTTGAATAAATAATGATAGA